GGCAGGTCGCAGGTGAGCCCAGGAGGGAGTGCAGGGCCTCGTCCTCACCGGGGACTGCCAGGGCCTCATCCTGCTGCCCAGTCCCGGCTGGAGTGAGTCCCCCCGGGTAACACAGCAGTCATGGGGCAGGGGGCCCGGGGGCCGGCCCCGGGGGAGACCTACCCACAGCTGCCATGGAGCCGGACGGGAGCTTGGCCTCCTTGATGCACTGGCCTCTCCAGTAGGCACAGAGCACAGCTTCTTCCTGCGACAGGCACCCGTCGGCATAGCCGCAGGCCACCTCCCCCAGAGAGTGCCCGATGATGCCGTCTGGCTTTAGGCCCACGGAGGTCAGTAAGTCGATGAGGGCAATCTGTGGGGAGGACAGGGCGTCTTAGGTCGGGCCCCCCCCCCCCGCCCGAGCTCGGTGGGCCAGGCCTCTTGGGAAGCCTGGACTTGTGCCCAATTAAAGGCACATGGTGCCCAACGACCGAGCAGGGACATGGCTGAGTGGCATGGTGACTGCAGCTCTGCTGCGGGGCAGAGCCCTGGGACCCCAGACCTGGCGCCAGGTGGGCGTCTACCTGGATGGCCGTGAGGCTCACAAAGGCGTGCACGATATCGTCAAAAGAGTTGTCCTGGTTGCTCAGCAGCTCCGACACCTTCACTCCCAAAGGCTTCAAGGCCTCGTCTGAGCGCAGGATGGAGTCACGGAAGCTGTCCAGCCGCATGAGGCTCAGCCCCATTCCACGCCACTGCGTGCCCATCCCTGTTCCAGACAGATCGTCAGGGCTAGAGTCATAGCCGTGTCCTGCGCCAGGGAGCGACCCCATGGGCTCGAAGGGGGACTCACCTGAGCAGATGAACCAGAGGGGGCGCCTGCCTGTGGAGACTTGCTGTACCTCCTGGTTGCCGCCTTCCACGCCCAGCACCGCGTAGCCCCTGAAAGGCATGGCTGTGGGAGCGGTAGCTGCGATGTCGTTGAGCATGCTCAGGAAGGCCAAGTCCTGGCTGTGCCGGCGGCCCTGGTCCAGCAGGCTCTGCACGGCCTCGGGGGTGCGCCCGCTGGCCTGCAGCAGGCGGGGCAGGGCGGCGTGGGGGGCGGGCTCGGGGGGGCGCTGGGTGTTGGGCTGCAGGATGACGTGCACGTTGCAGCCGCCAAAGCCGAACGAGTTGATGCTCACCAAGCCACCGCGGACAGGCAGGGGCCGGTCCACCACCTGCAGCCGCCCGTCACGCAGGGCTGGAATGGCAGGGTTGGGGTTGTGGAAGTGCAGGTTGGGGGCCCAAAGCCCGTGTTCCAAGGACAGCAGCACCTGTGGATGGAGCATGACAGGGGGCACCTGACTGCCCTCACCTGGGAGCTGCACACGGGAGTGGTCAACACAAGACGCTCCCTGCTTTGGACCTTGTGCCCTGTGGTCCCCACCCTGATGGGAACCAAGGAGGGGGGCCCCCCACGGGACGCTAACCCTCCAGACAGGCCATGCAGACCCCTTGCTCTTCAGCAGGGCCAGGCTGGAAGCCCCGGCCCCTGGGCTGGGTGCAGGTCGTCATCGGTGAAGTGTGGGCACTCCAGAACAGCTATCTGCCTGTGCCGGCCCCAGGCCTCTTCCCATTCTCAAGTCCAGCACATGGTCCCAGCCCCGGAGACGTGCCTGCCCCCAGCCAGTGTCTAATCCTAATCCCATCTGAACCGTTCCCAGTTAAGCCATCAAACCGTTCAGCAGGACCCCATATTCCCCAGGAGTCAGGCTGGGGCTCCTGTCTCCAGCTGGCAGTAAGTCAGGGCACAGGCCAGTGTGGCTGTGGGGCTAGCCGTCCCGACAGGGAGGCCCGGAGCCTGTCCCACTCACCTTGGCCAAGGCTGCCAGCCCCGATGCAGGCTCAGGGTGCCCCATGTTGGACTTGGTGGACCCGATCAACAGGGGGTCCTTGCGGGAGCTGCACAGGGCCTCATCGATGCCGTTCAGCTCTTGGGGGTCGCCCACCTGTGGGGCGGGAGGTGAAGGATGAGCCAAGAGGCCTCCGGCAGAGGCGGGGCGTCACAGGTGGGGGCCAGGGGGGGCCTTTCCTCACCTTGGTGCCGGTGCCATGGGCCTCGATATACTCCAGGGCCTTAGGGTCCAGCCCGGCCGGCAGGTACATGGACCGCAGGAGCTGCTCCTGCACCTCCCCGGAAGGGAAGGTCACACCTGCGTGGCGGGGGAAGCCAGCGTCAGCCCCTGTGGCCGCCCCAGCCCTGCAGCTCGCAGTCCCTGCGCCCACCTTGCTCTTTGAAGCCGTCTGTGTTGGTGCCAGCGTTCAGGATGGTGGCGTACACCCGTCGAGCCAGGGACTTCTTCAGCAGCAGCATGGCCACCACGGCCTCCGACCGGCAGTACCCATTTCCTGGGGTGGAGCAGAGCCTCAGCAGGGCCCGGCCACTCGGGGACGGACCATGAGCCCACTCCTGGCAGGACGAGGGCAGGTCTCGCCCAGGGCTACCCTGCCGCCTCACCTTCGGCGTCGAAGGACTTGCAGGTGCCCTCGGGGCTCAGCATGCCCAGCTTCATGAACTGCACTGAGGTGTTGGGCTTCAGCATCAGGTTGATGCCGCCCACCAGGGCAGCGGGACACTCGCCGCTGCGGATGGCCTGGTAGGCGCTCTGCAGGGCCAGCAGGCTGGACGAACAGGCTGTGTCGATGGCGGTGCTGGGCCCTGTGGGCAGGGCCAGGGGCAGGTGTGGGCGTCCCGGGGCGGCCACCCTGGCCCAAGCAGCACGTGGCTCACCTCGGCGACCCAGAGCCAGGCAGTGCTGCCCCCCCCCCCCGACCTGAGGCTGGGACGCCCTACCTTTGAAGTCAAAGAAGAAGGAGAGCCGGTTGGCCATCATGGCGCGCTGGCAGCCCACCATGCTATAGCCCAGCAGCGTCTCCGGGTCTCGGCTCAGGGCCTCAGAGGCCTCTGAGCCACTCACTCCCACCCAGACGCCGGTGTGTGTCCCTCGGAGCCAGGCAGGGTTGATGCCTGTCAGAAGCGGCAGTCAGGCCCAGCTATTGAGTGGAGGCCTCGGGCCCTCAACCCAGCAGGCTGGGGTAAGAGCGAGAGGCCCCTCCCAGCAGGCCCAAGAGGCCTGAGCAGGTACTGCCAGGGGTGGGCAGCCAGCCCAGGTAGAGCTGAGAACCGAGAAGTAGGTTACAGAAGAAGTGGGGCACCAGGGGGCAGGCTGGGCCCCCAAGGCCCAGGTCAAAGAGCAACCAAAGCAAGGACAGAGGCCAGCACTGTCCCCAGCAGCACTGTGGCCGCTGTCACTGGCAGGCTTGACAAGCCTGCTGGGCAAGAAGCAGGCCGACATGGAGGGCGGCCTGCTTCAGGACAGACTGAGATAAGGAGTTGCGGGGAAACAAAGGCCGAGTGTCCGGACCGGGGAGGAAGAGGATGCTGCGCAGAGACTGGGCAGCAGAAGGGCCTGAAGCAAAGGCCCCCACTGTGGAGGCCGGCGGGAGACACGCTGCTGGGCCTGCACTGCGCCGAGGCTGGGGTGTGGATCTGGGCTCCATGGCTAACCCCAGTTCCAGCTGGCATCTAAAGACCAAGGCCTACCCTCGTCATCTCCACGCTGGCCGCCCACTGGGAGACTGGCCCAGGAGAGGTTTGGGTTGTGCCCCAGGCTGCTGGGCAGCTGAGTGGACAGGGCCATCTGGATAGCCGTACGGGGAAAAGCGCGGCTCTTCACAAGCAGGCCAGAGCGGCAGCTCCACCCGCACCTGCAGACCAGCCGCACACCAGGCTATGAGCAGACCGGTGACAGGGCACGTCTGGGACACTGGGGGGGCCCCACCTGAGCCACAGCCCACACTGGGGCCGCGACCAGGGAGAAGCAGGTTCATGCCACGCTTTCCTGAACGAAAACCACTGCTGCGGCACTTTCTTTCCTTTTCCTTCTGGCAGTGCAAGAACCCAGGGCCTCGTACACCAATGCTGAGAAGAGCACAGTGGCCCCATCCCAGAAAGTTCTACCTCGGCAGAAAGGAGTCTGTGCATGATCCCCTCCCCCACAGGGCCCTGGGAAGCAACAGCAAACCCCAACTCACCTCCATCAACAATCGCCTCATAGGCCACCTCCAGCAGCAGCCGGAGCTGGGGGTCCATTGTGTGCGCCTGCTTGGGATGCACCCCGAAGAAGGACGCGTCGAACTTGGATATGTCCTTCAGCTTGCCGCTCCTCCGGGGCAGCCCGTAGAGCCCTGTGAGTCAGAGCAGGTAGGATGCCCCCTGAAGGAGCCCATGGGCACTGCAGGCCCCGGACCCAGGCTGAACTCCAGGCACCCAGGCCACTTGGGAGAGGTTCCCTGGGAGTGGGGGACCCCAGCTGTGAGACCCTCTGCCTGGTGCGGGGCTGGCGGAGCCAGCTGCAGCACGCTGACTCACACCCCACACCCCGTCCATCAGGTAGAGCGGCTCTGGGCGTGAGAATCAAGCCAGCCTCCCCGGCCGTGCTGCGTGCCAGCTCAGGGCACAGGCCATCTTGCCAGCATGAGCAGGGGGTGGCCCTGTGGGGGGACCCAGTCCCCTTGGCCTAAGGGGGGTAGGGAGGGATGGGGATGGAAGTCGCTCAACGCAGAATGTCAACGCTGGTCCTTTGTGAGCCTAGCCTCAGCCCCACAGCTGTGTGTGGAAGCCCCCTAAGCATCCTACTCCAAAAAGCACCACAGTTCCAGAACCTTTCCTGCAGCCCGCCCACCCCCCCAGAGGTCCCGCTGGGCTGCTCACCGGCCTTCCATCTCCGGTCGTCGTCGGTGATCATGTCCACACCACCAATAAGGTTGGCCCAGAACTCCTCCAGGTTCTCCGACTCGGGCAGCTTCCCTGACATTCCAGCAATCACGACCTCCTCCATGGTTCTGTGGGTTGGCCGCGTGGTCCAACATTAGTCCAGTGGCGAAGATTCCCCTGACCGGCTGTACTGCTTCCTGCCTCTGCCCTCCCCGGTGCTGGAGCCCTGACCTGGTGGTACCCACCCAGGTAATGACCTGGAATGACCCTGCCGTGCTCCGCAGCCTCAGCTCCCCAACGGGACGGGGGACACACAACCCAGGGGTCGGGGAGGCGCGAGGGGGCCGAGTGCCGAGGAGCTCCCCTCGGGGCAGGCCACCCTGAGCCAGGGCTGCCTCCGCCTCCCCTAGCCGGCCCGGGGAGATCGGGGCCGAGGCCTAGCCCGGACAGGGTAAAGCGGCCCCTGGCTCAACCGCCGCCCTCCGGCGAGGCCGGGCCCTCAGCCCACCTCCACCTCCCCGGCCCCGAGCCCGGGCCTCGCCGCCCGGGGCCCAGCGCGGAGGCCCCGCGCCGCGCTCGCGGCCGGCCCAGTGACTTCCGCCGAGGCCCCCGCGCCTCGTGCGCGCGGCGGCCGCACCCCCGCCGGGCCCCGAGGAGGCCCGAGCCCCCGGCCGGCGCATCCACGCGGCCCCGCGCGCCCGGCCTCCCGCACCGGCCGGCGGCGCGCCCACGTGACACGGCCGTTCGCCGGCGCCCCCGGCCCGCGCCCCCCCACCCCGGCGGCCGGAGCTCCGCGGGCGGCCCGGGGGCGGCCGGCGCCTTTGTGGGCGGGAGAGACGGCGGCGGCCCCCGGCCGCCCCCCGCCCGGCCCCGAGCCGGGTCCCGCGCGGCCCGGGCCCCGCGGCGCGGCCGTACCTGGCTGGGCGCGGCGGCGGGCGGCGGCGGGGCGCGGGGCGGGCGGCGGCGGCGGGCGGACGGGCGGAGCGGAGGGCCGCTGCCGTCTCTCTGGCTCCCTCTAGGCCGCGCCGGCGCTATTTAAACCGCGGCCATCCCCGCGCGGCCACGCCACATGGGCTGACAGCTTGGCTGCGCCGCCCAGGCCAATGAGCGTCGGGGCTGCGCCCCGGGACCCGGCGCGCCGCCGCCGGTGGGGTGATGCCCGCGCGCGCCGCCCCCCGGCCGGACCCCGCGCGGGAGCGCGCGCGGGGCGGGAGCGCGCGGCCCCCGCCCGCTTCCGACCCCGCCCCCGGCGCACGGCGGGGGACGCCGGGGTCCGCGCGGGCGCCCCGGGTCCGCGGGGGCCACGTGTGCGCGGCGCTCCGGCGGGGCGGGGCGGGCGTGCGGGGCCGCGCGGGAAACCGCACTGGGGAGCACTGAGAATCGCACCGGGGAGCACCCCCGAAGGGACCGACAAGCACCGGGAGCGTCCCGAGGCCACGCGGGCTCAGGCCCCGTCCTCGCCGCTCTCCGCCGCGGTCGCAGCGCGCGGAGCTGGGGGGCGGGGCCTGCTCCTCGATGCGGCCAATCCGGAGCCGGGGCTTCTCGTGCTCGCCCAATGGCGGCGCGCGGGTGGGCGTTGCTAGGCGATAGGGCGAGGGGCCGGCGCCGGCGGCGCAAGCGCGGTCGTTGACCCTGGCCGAGGGCGCCCCTCGTGGGGTTACTGCCGGTCAAGCCCCGGGTTCCGCTGGCCGGCCGCCCGGGGCGCCCCCCGGCGCCCCCAGCCCCTGCCGTCCCCCGCGGCCGCCGGGACACCGGAACGCGGGCGGCGCCGGGGCCGATGGCGGGCGCGGCTCGCGGTCCGGGACCCCCGCCCGCGCGATGGAAACAAAGGAGCCGCTGCTCGCCTCCCGGAGCCGCGGCGGGCTTCCGGCCTTCCCCGCCATTCCGCCGGGAGGCGGGCCAGCCAGGCCCTCCGACGACCGGGAGGCCCGGCCTCCGCGTGGGCCCCGAGACCCCGACCTCCGCGTGGGCCCCGAGACCCCGACCTCCCGCCTGGGCCCCGAGACCCCGGCCTCCGCGTGGGCCCCGAGACCCCGACCTCCCGCCTGGGCCCCGAGACCCCGGCCTCCCGCCTGGGCCCCGAGACCCCGGCCTCCCGCCTGGGCCCCGAGACCCCGACCTCCCGCCTGGGCCCCGAGACCCCGGCCTCCCGCCTGGGCCCCGAGACCCCGACCTCCCGCCTGGGCCCCGAGACCCCGACCTCCCGCCTGGGCCCCGGCCTCCGCGTGGGCCCCGAGACCCCGACCTCCCGCCTGGGCCCCGAGACCCCGACCTCCCGCCTGGGCCCCATGACCCCGACCTCCCGCCTGGGCCCCGGCCTCCGCGTGGGCCCCGAGACCCCGACCTCCCGCCTGGGCCCCGAGACCCCGACCTCCCGCCTGGGCCCCGAGACCCCGGCCTCCCGCCTGGGCCCCGAGACCCCGACCTCCCGCCTGGGCCCCGAGACCCCGACCTCCCGCCTGGGCCCCGGCCTCCGCGTGGGCCCCGAGACCCCGACCTCCCGCCTGGGCCCCAAGACCCCGACCTCCCGCCTGGGCCCCATGACCCCGACCTCCCGCCTGGGCCCCGACCTCCGCGTGGGCCCCGAGACCCCGACCTCCCGCCTGGGCCCCGAGACCCCGGCCTCGGCCCGGCCTCCCGCCTGGGCCCCGAGACCCCGACCTCCCGCCTGGGCCCCGGCCTCCACGTGGGCCCCGAGACCCCGACCTCCCGCCTGGGCCCCGAGACCCCGGCCTCCCGCCTGGGCCCCGAGACCCCGACCTCCCGCCTGGGCCCCGAGACCCCGGCCTCCCGCCTGGGCCCCGAGACCCCGGCCCGGCCTCCGCCTGGGCCCTGCCACTCCGGCCAGTCCCCACTCCACCCAAGTGCACACTGAGGCCCGGAAGGTTCCACAGGAAGCTGTACTGTGAACAGCTCTCCCTCTCTAGGCCCCGAGACGCTGTGTGTCTGGCATAGCTCTCGCTTATAATCCTGCCTATTCAGGAGGCTGAGACCTGAGGATTGAGGTTGTAAAGCCAGCCCTGGCAGAGAAGCCTACCGGTTAGACTCTTTACCTCCAAAAAGCTAGAAATAGAGCTCGGCTCAAAACGGTACAGTGCCAGCTTTCAGCAAAAAGAGCTCAGGGATGAGGCTGGGAAGGCGGCTCAGTGGTAGAGTGCTTGCCTTGCATGGATGAGGCCCTGGGTTCGATTCCTCAGCACCACATAAGCAAAAAGAAAAAAGCCAGAAGCGGTGCTGTGGCTCAAGTGGTAGAGCGCTAGCCTTGAGCTGAAGAGCTGAGGGACAGCGCCCAGGCCCAGAGTTCAGGCCCCACGACCGGACCCCCCCCCCCAAAAAAAAAAAATTAGGCCAGGCACGGATGGCTCATGCCTGTAATCCTAGCTACTCAGGAGGCTGAGATCTGAGGATCGTGGTTCAAAACCAGCCCGGGTAGGAAAGTCTGTGAGACTCTTATCTCCAATAAACCACTAGAAAACCAGAAGTGGTGCTGTGGCTCAATTAGTAGAGCGCTCGCCTTGAGCTGAAGAGCACAGGGACAGGGCCCAGGCCGAGTTCAGGCCCCATGATCAGACCCCCCCCCCCCCCCCCCCCCCCCCCCGCCAAAAAAAGAGCTCAGGGATGGCGACCAAGTCAAGCCCCACAACCAGAAAAAAAAAAAAAACAAACACCTCAGGGTTGTCTGCCGGGCTGGCTCTGAACTGTGGTCCTCAGGTCCCAGACTCCCGTGAAGCTAGGACTGCAGGTGGTGAGCCACTGGCTGAGGCTGGCATGCTCTCGTGGTGCACGCATCTCATCCTTAGGTGCCCACCGTGGGTGCCTGGTGGCAGAAGGTTCTGCTGTTGTGATTGGGGGGTGCACAGTAGGCGCCAAGGGTCAGGCACCCTAAGCGACAGCTCCCGCCCCTGGGAGGCCCCTCAGGTCGTGCTCCGCGGTCCGGCCTCGCATCCTCTCCAGGCTCTGGGGAAGGCCGCTGCCCGGCATGGCCGGCACAGGTGGCTGTGTGCAGTTGACACAGGCAGGTGTGCACCTGCCAGGGAAGCCTGGCTTCCCGGTACCCCCATTTCCCAATCAGGACAAGACCGACAACTCTGCTGGCCAACGGCTGCGGGGAGGCGCTGGGCTTTACTAGCTCTCCGGGCGGTCAGGGAGGGGGCCTTGCCCTTCATGCCAGCTTGCAGGCCGCGTGCCGACCCGTACCCCTCGAATGTACAGTGCCCAAGCGCCGCCGGGGAGGTCAGGCCTTCGGGCTGTAGTTGCGGACGGCCAGGGGCTGCTGGCAGTGTCTGCACTTCACAGGTCCAGGCCTGGCAGGCCTGGCAGGTGTGGCCCGGGGCTGAGTCGCCACCTTCGACCCCTGGACGGCGAAGGCTGCCTGCGGCTTGCTGGCGCTCCTGCTGGCCTTCTGTGGACGGCAGTCTGGTGGCGGCGGCGGCGAGGGCGGCGAGGGCTCTGTGGCAGGGGAACAGAGAAGGTGCACGGTTAGGAGGCAGGAGGGGCGGGGACCCACGCCGCTGAGCCCCCACCCGTGGGGGCCTGGCCCGGCTATCCGGAGGCAGCCTTGGGTCACCCGGTGGCAAAGGCCACACCAGGTTCACCAGGTTCTGTGTGGATGCTCAGGCTGCCCCCGCCCCCACCCCGCTGCAGGCCGCCGAGGAGCCGTCCCTGCCCTGGTGAGCGGGCCGGGCCCAGACCTGGGACGCGGGAGCTCTCCTACACACGGGCAAAGGCCAACCCGGGGCATGTCCGGCACGGGCCCTGGTGGCCGTGGCTCGGGGAGGAACCCAGGGCCTGGTAGAGGGTGGGTAAGCGCCCCACCATGGAGCCCTTCTGCCTGACCGTGCCTTTCTGAGTTTTGAAGATTTTTTTTATTTTTTTTTTTGGTCCGGTCGTTGGGCCTGAACTCTGGGCCTGGGCGCTGTCCCTCAGCTCTTCAGCTCAAGGCTAGCGCTCTACCACTTGAGCCACAGCACGACTTCCGGCTTTTTTCTTATGTGGTGCTGAGGAATCGAACCCAGGGCCTCAGGGCCTCAGGCACGCAAGGCAAGCGCTCTACCACTGAGCCACCTTCCCAGCCCAGTTTTGAAGATTTTTATACGATGTATTTCTTTGGTAAGACAATAGTGTTAAAAATACAGACAAGCTGTCCCTCTCTGGAAGGCTGGGCCAGCACACCTGGGGGACGTGACCCATGGGGTCAGGAACTGTGTCCAGGAGAAGGATCTGGAAGGCCCCGGGCAGGGGTTGATCACTGTGGCAGCTCTGCAGCCAGCCAGCCTGCGGCCACAGAGGTGAGGGCAGGCTGCCCCCACCCGGCCTAGGCCCCGTTTCCCACGGCCAGCCTCCCTTGCTCTGCAGGCTCAGTGAAGTTCTGGGTGCCGAGGACCTTCCCTCCTCTTCATAGAGGCCCCGCCCCCTGCGCCCTGTCCAGCCCTTGTCAACGCCGTGCCTGGGTGATCTCTTGGAGCCCCGGTGGTCCTTCCAGACCAGCATGAGAACTGGGCAGACTTGGGGCCCTCTCGTGTCTGTCTGTGCCTCTTCCTGCAGAGCCTCCCGTGGGAGGGAGGCCCGAGGCTGGCCAGGCTCTCAGGGCCCGCCTCACTGTTCCCTGGCCAGGAGACATCAAGCTGAGCCCATCCCACCTGCGTGCTGGGCTGCCCGGCTGAGGTCCGACGCGCAGCTGGGCTGTCAGTGTTCTCTGGCTGCTCCTTACCCGACCTGTTCTGTCCAGCAGGCTGCGATTTCTTCACCAAGCTCTGAAGAGGCCTTGGGGAAATCTGGATGCATACCTTGCCAAGTACAGGCTCCCTACACCTGCCTTCTGCTCCCTCTGTTCTGCCTCTGGCCTACCATGTGATTCCGGAAAGTTCTGTGAAATATTTAAGGCCTTTCTCTCACTCTTAACAGAGAGTGGTCCCTCACAGGTTTTCCTTCCCCCAGGGTCTCAAGGCAGGACTCTGGTGTGTGTGCACGCACGTGTGCGTGTGCCTGTGCTAATCCTGGAGCTTGAACTCTGGGCCTCGGTGGCCTCGGGCCACTTGAGCCATTACTCTATGTCTAGCTTCCTGGTGGAGATAAGAGTCTCATAGATTTTCCTGCCCAGGTTAGCTTCCAACCTCCATCCTCAGATCTCAGCCTCCCGAGTAGCTAGGATGACAGGCGTGAGCCACCATGCCTCGGGTGGAACACATTTGGCTGTGGGAGCCTAGAAGAACCCATTGGAGAAGGCTGGTGCCTCAGGTGGGGCGCCAAGCACCCGGGAGCTCCAGGCCCACCCTCCTGGCCCTGAGCTGTTCTCTGCCCCCAAGCTGGTCTTAGGCAGCTGCCCAAGTTTCTGCGCAGAGGATCACGGAGCCCGGCCCTGGGACCACGCTGAGCAGATGCACAGGGATGCCTTCCGGAAGGCTGGCGGCCGAGTGCTGCAGAGCCTGCCTTCAGGGCTGGGGACTTCCCAGACCAAGGCTGTCCAGGGCCTTTCTGGTTAGGGCTTCCTGGGCCCAGCTGGTCCAGCCAGTCCTGTCTCCAGGGGATGAGCTGCCCCTCCGCACCAGCCTCCTTCCCAGAGGCCCCTGGGGTGGCTCTCCCGTGGGACAGCCTGTGCTCCAAGCCTCCTGGGAGCTCACCCTGAACTCCTTTGCCGTGGTACTGGGGCCCCAACTTGGCCTCCTGCTTGCTGGGCAAACAAAACAGCTCTGTTTTGTTCATTTTTCAGATAGGACATTGAGCTAACTTTTCTCTTTCTGTTCTGTCTGGTCAGCTGTGGGGCTTGAACTCAGGGCCTGGACGCTGTCCCTGAGCCTCTTTGTGCTCTATCACTTGTGCTTCTTACCCCAGCTGACTAAGACCTACAATCCTCCTGAGTAGCTGGGACTGTAGATGGGTGCTACCCCACCTGGCTGTGAACCCCTTTTTCTGGAAGGATCGGGGTCTGGAACTTGCTGGGCCTGCGTGGTCTGGCCAGCCTCCTCCAGCGCTGCTCCCTCCCGTGTGGCTGCTGCACCCCTGCGCTTCCTCCGAGGCTGGTGGGCGGTGGGCGTGGCCTGGTGGGCGGTGGGCGTGGCCTGGTGGGCTGTGGGCGTGGCCTGGTGGGCTGTGGGCGTGGCCTGGGTCTCTCCTACCACAGGCAGTGGTGGCCTGGGTCCCCACCCCATGTTTCTTCCCTCCCCCACCCTTTTTTTTTTTTTTGCCAGGCCTGGGCTTGAACTCAGGGCCTGGGCACTGTCCCTGAATTTCTTTTGCACAAGGCTTGCACACTACCACATAAGCCACGGTGCCACTTCTGGCTTTTTCTGTGTATCTGAGGAATGGAACCCAGGGCTTCATGCATGCTAGGCAAGCGCTCTACCGCTGAGCCCTAGCCCCAGTCCCCCGTTTTTGTCCCCCCGCCCTGCACCACAGGGATCCCGGCCGCACCGGCCTCTGTGTGGGAGAGCACACACCTCTGGGCTTTCCACAGTGGGAAAGCGGGGCTGGCCTGCGCTGCCTGACCCGGCCCGGGGAAGAGGCTGAGGGTCGGCTCCCGCGGCCCCAGCCGCGTTGCCTGCCGGCTGTGGGACGGTTCTTGCCCTGCCTGCTCTGGCCACAGCAGGGCTCACGGAGGGTATAGCGCGTGGAAGCGTGTGCCGAGCCCTGCAGGGGGCTGGCAGGAGCCCTGCCCTGGGCACTAGGCGCCAGGCAGCCCTTGGTCTGATCTCACTTGGCCTGGCGTGGGGACAACAGGACTGGGGCAGGGCGAGGGCCATGACGCCCGCAGTGGCCGGACGGCTGGACGGCCTCTGGTGCCCTTGGGAGGGCAAAGGTGCCAGGGCAGGAGGAAGGGCCGGGCCTGCGTGGGCCAGGGGCCGTCTCAGGTCAACTGGGGAACATGTGCGCTGGTGCCGGGATCCCAGAGAGCAGTGTGGGCTGACACAGCACCTCCACAGGCACCCCCCACGGGACACCCCCCAGGGGCACCGCGCACGGACACTGCGCACGGCACCGCGCACGGACACCCCCCAGGGGCACCCCGCACGGACACTGCGCACGGCACCGCGCACGGACACCCCCCAGGGGCACCCCGCACGGACACTGCGCACGGCACCGCGCACGGGACACCCCCCAGGGGCACCCCGCACGGACACTGCGCGCGGCACCGCGCACGGACACTGCGCGCGGCACCGCGCACGGACACTGCGCGCGGCACCGCGCACGGACACTGCGCGCGGCACCGCGCACGGACACTGCGCACGGCACCGCGCACGGACACCCCCCAGGGGCACCCCGCACGGACACCCCCCAGGGGCACCCCGCACGGACACTGCGCGCGGCACCGCGCACGGACACTGCGCACGGCACCCCGCACAAGGACACTGCGCACGGCACCCCGCACGGACACCCCCCAGGGGCACCGCGCACGGACACTGCGCACGGCACCCCGCACACGGACACTGCGCACGGCACCCCGCACAGACACTGCACACGGCACCCCGCACATGGACACTGCGCACGGCACCCCGCACGGACACCCCCCCCAGGGGCGCCCTGGACAGACACTGCGCACGGCACCGCGCACGGACACTGCACACGGCACCCCGCACGGACACTGCACACGGCACCCCGCACACGGACACTGCACACAGCACCCCGCGCACGGACACTGCGCACGGCACCCCGCACGGACACTGCGCACGGCACCCCGCACACGGACACTGCGCACGGCACCGCGCACGGGACGTCCCACACAGGACACTGTACCATACACGGGTTCCACACACAGGACACCGCACACGAGTACCTCACATGGGACACTGCGCACGGGACCCCGAACCGTGGGCCCAGTGGCGCTTGCTTAGGTCTTGCGGGCGTCTCCCTCCATGGGGGGTGGGGGACACCTGGCGGCCACTTTGGGGCAGGGTGGCGGTTCTTGCTCCCAAAGTGCAGGAGGGCGTCCGGGCGGCAGGCAGCGTCTGCCTGGGCCAGGTCCATCCGCAGCAGTGGCCACACCGGGCCGCTCGCGGCCTTGCGCCTGCCCCTGCCCGCGCATGGCGTCCCCGGGCGGGGGTCCGGGCTGCTCTCTGTTCTGGCGGGGACACTTCCCCCCGCCCGCGCTGGCCCCGTGGGGCGCCTGCCGCCGGACACGCTCGCCCAGGCTTGCTCAAGACGCAGCAGTGTGCAGCGGGCGGGCCAAGGGCTCGGCTGAAATCGCTGCCTGGCCGTCTGGCCCATGAGCCCCGGGCCCGCATGGCGTGGCCAGAGTGGGAAGGGGCATGCAGGGTGGCTGTGCTGCGGAGCAGGGCGGTGGGCTAGGGCGGGCTAGGGCGCGGCCGGCGGAGGAGCCCGCCCGGCACCCGGCACCCTCCACAGCTCCCTGGCTGCCTCTGGCCGGCCTCCCCACGGTGCACAGCATGGCTGTCCGAAGCAGACCCAGGGAGCCAGAGAGGTTAGAGGAGGGGGCGTGGTGTGGGGGCCGTGGG